TTTAGTTGTCTTATATCCTTACTGACTTATTATCTAATGATTCTATGATTTACTGAGACAGGCTCATTGAAGTCTCCAACTACAATTGTGAGTTTATCTATTTCTTCATTCAATTTTTGTAGTTTTTCCTTAATGTATTTGGAAGCTTTGCTGTTTATACATATCCATAAGATTGTCATGTCTTCTTGGTGAATTCACCCTTTTATCATGTAATGTCCCTCTTTACCCCTGAACTTTACTTTATCTAATATAATATAGCCACACCAAACTCTCTTTTGATAAGCATGTGAGTAGTATAAGCTTCTCCATCATCTTACTTTTAACCTACTTATAATATCATTATATTTGATAATTAGGTCATTTTTTTCATTCCAACAATTTCTGTCTTTTAATTGGTCAATGTAGATCATTTATATTTGATGTAATTATTGATACATTATGATTTCAGTCTGCCATCTTATGATTTATTTTACATTTTTTTCTCTGTTTTTCATTGTTCTGTTTCCCTTTTGCTGTCTTCCTGTGGGTTACCTGAACATTTTAAAAATAATTCCATCTCATTTATCTGTAGTGTTTTTGAACATATCTCTTTTTATTGTTTTATAATTGGTTTCTCTGAACATTAAAATTTGCTCTGTAGATTATTGCAGTCTACTAGTGTCAACAATCCACTACTTCAGGTGACATACTGATACCTAACTACCATTTAAGTCACTTTACCCTTCCCATTTTGGTAGTATAATTTGTCTTAAATATATATCTCTATATACATTTAGAACCACATCAGACAATATTATAATTTTTCTTTTAAATGACAAATGCAAATTTTGAAACCTCAAGAGAAGAAGAGTAGTTGATTGTATTTACCCATTTATTTACCTTTCTTGTTGGTACTCCTTCACTCCTGATGAGACATCTGTTGTCATTTGAATTGTCATTCCCATAGGTAATGAGTTTTTTTTTCAACCTGATTTCAAGAAATTTTTCTTTGTTTTTAGTTTTCAGCAGTTCGATTATGATAGGTCTTGGTGCTGTTGTCTTTGGGTTTATCCTCCTTGGGTTCTTGAACCCGGGGATTTGTCTTTTCCCAAATTTAGAGAGTTTTGGCCATTCTTTCCTCACATATTTTTTCAACCTCACATTCTTTGTCCTTTCTGGGACTCTTCAACACTGATGGCACAAATAGTAGATCTCTTGTTTTTGTACAAGTCTCTAAGGCTCAGTTTTTGTTGTTTCCAATCTACTTTCTCTGTGTTCTTCAGATTGGATACCTTCTACTTATCTGTCTTCAATTTACTGATTCTTCCTTCTGTTATTACCACTCTGCTATTGAGCTGGTCTATTGAATTTTATTTGTGCTATTATATTTTTCAGTTCTGTTTTTTTCCAAAATTTTATTTTTTATTTTACTTTAGGTTTATAACCTTTTTTTAAAATTTGAGAATATTACAGGAATATAAACACCCTGGTTACATAAAATGCTTTTGTGCTCTTTGAGTTAAAGTTATAAGTGTGCCCGTTCTGGAGATAATGTGTATTGTACCTGTTAGGTGTGAATTTACCCATCCACTTCTCTCCACTTTACCTGCTTGATTTCCAATGAATGTTATTTCCATGTGTGTATATAAGTGTCAACCGATTAGTTCCAATTTAATGGTGAGTACTTGCAGTGTTTGTTTTTCCATTCTTGTAATATTTCATTTAGAAAACTGGTCTCCAGTTCCATACAGGTTAATATAAGATGTATTAGGTACCATTTTTTTTTTTATGTCTGAGTAGGACTCCATGGTATACATATACCACATTTTGTTAATCCACTCATGTATTGATGGGCACTTGGGTTGTTTCCACATCTTTGCAATTGTGAATTGTGCTGCTATAAACATTCGAATGCAAGTGACTTCTTTATAGAATGCCTTTTTTTTTTTCCATTGGTCTCCAAAGGAATTGCTCGATCAAATTATAGTTTTAGTTCTTTGAGGTATCTCCACATTTTCTCTAATGATTGTTTCCTTGGCTGTGCAGAAGCTTCTTAATTTGATCAGATCTCATTTATTTATTTTTGTTGGTTCCACGATTGCTTTTGGAGTCTTCATCATAAATTCCTTGCCTAGGCCAATGTCTATATGAGTTTTTCCAACATTTTCTTCTACAATTCTTACGGGTTCATGCCTTAGGTTTAAGTCTGATACTGGCACAAGAACAGACACATAGATCAATGGAGCAGAACAGAGAACTGAGATATAAAACCATCTCATGTTGCCATCCAATCTTTGACAAAGCAGGCAAAAACATAAAGTTAGGGGAAAAATGCCTATTCAAAAAATTGAATAACCGCATGTATAAGACTGAAACAGGATCACCACCTCTCACCACTCACCAAAATTGACTCATAATGTATTTTTTGGTTATAAAATTTCCATTTGGTTCTTCTTTATAGCCTCTGTCCCTTTGCTAGGATTTCCTATGTTTATTTGCTTCAAGAGTGTTTATAATTGCATATTGGAATATTTTTATAACAGTTGCTTTAAAATCTTTAATGTTCTATAATTCCAACATCTGCATTATCTCAATCTTGTTGTCAACTCATTTAAATTGAGATTCTCCTGGCTCTTGGCAAGGTGAGTAATTTTAGACTACATCCTGGACATTTTGTGTATTATGTTATAAGGTATACTCTGGATACAGTGTAAATCTTTTAGTATATAGCCTATTTAGATTCTGAATACTCACAGTTGTGAGCTGTGGTTCAAATGTCTATTTAGGTTACAAAGCTTCTGCAGTCCTGTTCTGGTCTACCCCACTTTATGTTACCACTCCTACAGGAGTCCACCTCACAGTCTCATCAGTGCAGGCTGGGGAGAAGGATGATGGAAACTGACGACAGGGAAACCTCTGGGTAGGGTCCTTTCCACAGAGGGATGGGAGTCAGAGATCTGCCCACATCTGCTCATGAGGAAGTATACCTGCTTATTACTATAGGAGAAAGGTGGAAATCCTAACTCTATCCCCTGACACCCTTCCCAGGAGTCTCTATACTGAGTTCAGGATTGGAAGTCACAATTCAACTCACAGATTCTGCAGGGAAGGGACACATGATTGGCTGTTACTTCTTAGGTAACGTGAAAGACAAGGTTCCACCCATGTTCTCCACTGCTGCCAAACACTGTAGGGCTGCAGAAGTTCACTTATTTTCCATGGTGTTTGCTTCTGGAACAGAGGTGAAAAGGGTAAAATGTTTCTGTCCTGTCAGGCTATTTTTTTTTTTTCCTGTCTTTGGCCAGAGAGAGTAGGCTTTTCTTGGAGTTATTTTTGTCTCTGTCAATTGGTGTCATGATTAGTAGAAGTAAAATGGGATGCTTTTATTCAGTCTTGTCTGGAATACGAAGTTTGATCTGTGCCCTTGCTGCACTACCAAGATAGAGGTGAGCAAAGAGGTTAGATGCTCCCCCTAATGCCACAAAACTAGCTAGTGATGAAACTGAGACTAGGTTCTTATTCCTGGCCCAGTGACTTTTCATCACACTGTTTATTTTTATTTTATATAGGTTGCCATTTGAATATTCCTTGGTGTGAAATACATGAAGTTCAAAGGTGTGATCTCATTAAAATTAAATTTACATTCTTGCAATTGGAAAATATTAAGCTCTAACTCTAATAACTGTCTAATAGATCTTGCATTACAATTTTTATGTTAATGCTCATTTAATCTTCATGACAGGTACGCAAATTAAATATTATCTGGTGGCATTTCCATTTTACTATGGAGTAAACTGGCTGAGAACAAACAACAAAGTTATTTGCCAAGAATATTCAGCTACACAATGGCAAAACAAGGACTTGAACCCAAGACTATTTAACTCATATACCTATTCTCTACTTATGCTATGTGACTTCTCACAATATAGTTTGAGAATACTTGATTTATTCATGGGTTTATTTCTTCAACATACATTTATTAAGTGTTTACCATATGCCAGGTATAGTGCAAGACAGTATATGATGAAATGTGTAGTATAAATGCTTGGTAACCAAATGGATTATCAGGAGATGGGATTACTGTGAAAGAGAAATTCTGGGGATACCTTTTGTAAAATGCTGGAATAAATAGAGTTGAACTTTAAAGAAATATTCGATGTTCTACCAGTAGCAAAGCAGAGTAAAGGGATAGGAGATTTTAAATGGGGGGATGGTCTGAACTAAAACACAGTGAGGGAACGGTGAAGAAACTATTCTCTTTGTATGGTGTGATGTGAGCTTTTCTCCCCAACTCTCACCCCAGCCCATTTTCTACACTTTCCTTACTATAGCCATATAGCTTATTATAGAAACACTTATTACTATTTAAATGGCAGGAAAAGTCATCAGACTATGGTGGGAGAATGGTAGTTAAGATTGATAAATTTCTTTTAAGAAAGTGACCCCAAAATACAGTGATGTGACCAAGATTGAAATTTATTTCCCTTTCACAATGGGGTTCAGATTTAGGCAGGAAGTTCAGGATAGGGAGGCTGCTTTGTAACACAGTGTCATCTAACACCTCCAGTTCCTTCTATCTCACTGCTCTGGTCCTCCACCAACACCATCATGTATGAGTTCTGGCCCATGGGGAGGAAAGAGGGGAGGTGGTGATTAAGCCACTTTCATTTAATGAAGTGACCCAGCAGATGCACACATAACTACCCTGGTGTCCCACTGGCCACAGTCTAGCTGTGGCCAGCAAATACTTAGGGAGCTCCATCATCACGCAGAAGAGAGGGGAAATATATTCATCCTTTCATATAAGGATGCAACCTATAGAATGTGTTGCAAAAAGCCCAAAGCATTTATATTAAGTGGAATCTCTCTCAATATTATATCTTGGTAGTGATGGTCCAATTTCTTCTCTCACTAATCCTTCACTTCTAGTTTTGCTTTATTCTAAACATTAATTTTGCTCCATTGTATTTTTTAAACTCCTAATGCTATATTTGGAATTTTATTCCTGATATTAAATTTCCTGTCTCCTAATGCTTTTGTTTCACTTTTATAGCTACTATTTCAATCCTTTTTTTTTTCTTTTTCTGTTTTCATTTCTTGTTTTAAGCCTACTTTTGCTTTCTGAACCATCTTGTTTTTAATCTCTTGTGTTCCCTACTCTTCTTCTTTTTAACAATTTGTTTTATGATGTTCATAGAAATGTATACTATGCCAGACAAAGTCCTTTCAGAGGCCCTCTGCATTATTGAATCCTTGTAAAGCAATTGGCACAATGACTGGTACAGTGAACTTCAGAATTGACAAACATCACCATGATCAATCCTAGCACTCCAGGGCATCATTTCACCTATCTAGATTTACATGGCTAATAAAACCATAAAGTTTTTTACCCAATCTTTTTGAACTAGAAATATATATAGTCAGAGAGCTGGTAGAAAGAGAATGAGGAAGAAGTTCATTTCAGTAAAGAGTAATGTAGTTCTGAATCCCTACCAAGTATCAGCTAAGATTCTAGGTTGTAGACCTTGCCAGTTAGAAGTCACTTAACTTAACTTGAGATTTTTCAGCTCTTCAAAATACAAGTTTATTGAACACTCTAGAAATTCTTCTTGTAAGGCATAAGAAGTTCATCCAGGAATTCAACAATGAGAAATACAAAATCTGCTTGATGTGTAGGGATGAATCACTGCCATTTCTTACAAGTAAAGACATGTACTCTAGAGTCAAACTGACTTGAGATTGAACCTTGGCTCTCCTGAGGCAGAGCGTGCTGTGCTGGAGGTAAACAAAGACCGATGATGGAGGACACTGGGACAAAACAGTGATGCAAGGACTGAGTTCAGGCCTGGTCTTTAGTGTGGTAGGAAGGTGCTGGGATGAGGCTGAATCCAGTGTACTGGCTCTGATGGGGCCATGAAGATCCAGAGCTGTAGGAGTGGCATGTTGGAGAATAAGCACACAGGGACCAGGGTCAGGGAGGGAGTCACAGACACCTGGAGGACACGGAGCCCTTTTGTTTGTTTCCTTGTCCACAGCTACACTCAATGCAGGCAGATGTAGGCAGGGGCGGGGTCTACACAGGCCACTTTCTCTATTAGATAGGAAGGACTTTGATTAGGGACTGTACAGTGTACTCTGACTGGTGTTTGCTCATCCCTGCACACATGTGCATGGTCATAAAGACACCCACATGCTCTGTCCCTCCTGCCTGCCCCACTCAACTGTCTTACTGTGCACTCATTCTCACATCCACTCTCTCACTGTCACTAAACTCTAAGTTCTTAGAGCCAAGTCAGGGTCACGTGTTTGTCCTCAAATCTTACATAATTCCTGGCAAATTCCCTGCCCCACTCAAAAGCTTTGTCACTTTGGCTGCGTTACTTCAGCTCAGACTCATTTTCATTTTCTGAAAGACGAGGAAAAACTTACTTAAAAACCTTACTACCATAGGGTGGTTATAGGATTAATGAGATAAAACATGCGGGAATTTGGCTTTCTGTGACCCCGAGTGCCTTCTCCCCACATGTGCGTGGGTGCTTGTTCTTTCTGCCACGATGAATGCACATCCACGGCCCTTTGCACACAAAGCTTGTTGATTCCTTGACACTTGCTGAGTGGCTGTGCTCCTGGACCAGAAAACAAAGCGCCTTTCACACGGCTGCTTTCATTCTTCCCCACAGAACCCTTTGAGACAGGAATAACTTTCTCCCTTTTACAGATGGGGAGCTGAGACCCAAAACGTGAAGCGACTTTCCAAGAGCCCACAGCAACTGAAATGCAGAGCCGAGATTCTGGCATCACTCCAGCGCTAGAGAACTTTTCTCCATGCCTGGTCCACCCTGTAGTGCACCTTCTGTTGTCGAGCACGTGTTTCTATTATCTATGGCCAGTGTAGGAAGGGGGCGTTCTCTTTGATTAAACAGATGATATGAGTTACTAAGAAGTCCCTGCTTGCTACACAGACTTATACTAAACATATCTCAGCCTTGAGTGGGGGTTCGGATGTGCTGAATTCTCTCTCTTGGCTAGACTCTAGGATGCTTAAAGTTAGAGACCTTATTTATATTATTTCAGTTAGATCCTCATGCCTTGCTCTAGTGACACATGCTGGATGCTCACTCAATTCATGCTGGGTGAATATATGAATGGATGTTTATAAGGAACCTTGCACATCCTGAAGTGAATTGACTCTGAGTCTTCTTCAAAGGAGAAGAAAGGAAATGAAAACATTCCCATCAGACCAAGTTGGGCACACGCATGTTGGTATGTGCATGTTCAGCTGTGACTACTTAACTGTTTTTCAGTTTGTAAAGAAATATGGGAACCTTGTCAGCCTGGACTTCGGATACATGTCTTCCGTTGTTATTACTGGATTGCCCTTGATCAAAGAAGCCCTCATCCACATGGACCAACACTTTGTGAACCGCCCTGTTTTCCCTCTCCAAGAACGGATCTTTAAGGGAAATGGTAAGTTTCTTGGTCAGTTGAAGGTGTGTGTTTGATATTCTTATCATCTGTCCAAGGTGCTTCTGACTATGATTTTCCAACAACCTCTAAGAACCAGCCACATAATAAAATTCCTGCCCTTAACAGAAGCCCACATTTCCTGATTGAAGTCACTTGCTCAGAGGACTTGACAAGGTCAGCTATAGTAGAGATTTGGGAGAAGCCGCATGACCTGCACAAACTCACACCAGATGCTTTTATAATGAAGAAACCACATCACCCAGTTATGGCAACAGAATAGTCGACGTGTTCTCTCTCTCTCTCTGCTGTCCCATTCCAAGCCTCTTCCCTTAGGAAAATGGATGTGGATCTGCTTCCTTCTGCTGCTACTTTCTGTCTCCAGCTCCTTATGCTCTACCATGAAGGTCGTGCTGACCAGGGATCTCGAGCCTTCTGGTCACTGTTAGAACAGGTTGGCTGGAGTACTTAAGATTATCATTAAAGAAAATCAAACATTTAAAAATTGAAATGAAATTCCAACTCTATGACTCTGTCAAAGCACCATGTTGAGATTATTCCTAATTACTATTTGAAATGTCGAATCAATTAATTCTCTATCCAATCACTAAACTATCTCCCATGTGAACACAGTGCTGGGCATTAGTGATATAACAATGAGTAGAACAGATACAATCTACGTCCTTATGTAACTTCTATTAAGGGAGAAAGACAGTATCAATCACTTATAATACTCAAAAGCTTGTGGTGTTATGAAGATAAATGCAGGATGCACTTATGAGGGGCAACTAATGTAATCCTGGGATTCAGGATAAGCTAATTTATTGAAGTAAAAGAAACAATCAAGCAGTGGGACAGAATACAAAAGTCCATGAAGTGTAAAGGACAGTGACTTGAGGAATTGAAAGGTGGCCAATGTCACAATGAGGGGGATTAAAAGGAGATAATTAAATGAAAACACATCTGCTGCCTTGGCCAGGGATAGTTCATGCAAGTTCTTACTAAGGATGCTGTTTTGATCCTAATAACAACAGAAGTTCTTGAATGGTTTTAAATATAGAAGGAAATTATCATATTAACTGTGTCCATTTTTAAGGCTCATTTAGACTGTCATTTAGAGAATGGACTAAAAAGAATCAGAGACTAGTGTAGACTTTTAGGTTAGAGAAAGGGGTACCTTGGATTTAGGGGGTGGTGGGAAATGATAGTAGGTTAGACCAGGATAGCGGCAGTGAAGACACATGGATTCAAGACATCCAGGAGGTGAGCCTATAACACATGATGGCCTAGATGCAGGGAGAGTGAGGTGTGGAGGTGACACCCAAATGGGTCAATGATGGAAAGAAGGAACACTTAGAAAAGGACAAGGTGTTTGCTTTGGTTGGGCATGGGTAGGGATTTGTATGGAGAAATCATGAGTTCAAGCAAGGATATGCTGAGTTTGAAATGCCTTTAGGTCAGCAAAGTCAGGCAATTGTATTAATAGATATGGGGCTAGAGCTCAGGGACAGCAATAGATGGTCACTATCAACAGATGCTATTTAAAGTTTTAGGGATTGATAAGATTTTCCACAAGTGGAATATAATATGAAAAGAGAAGAGACTTTAGACCTAATTTTGAAGAACTCCTGTAAAGCCTTTATTTCCCTTTAATTATATGGACTTTATCTTATTCATAAGTGCATTCCTAGCATTTAGCATGACATGAGTATCTAACATTACTTATGTGGCTAATAATCAGCGCATGGGCTTTAGAATCAGGAAGACCCGAGTGTGAACACCTCTTTATCTGTTTTCTAACTGCAATCTTAGACAATCTAAAGACGTTCACTTTATCCTCTGTTTCTCAGGTTTATCATTGGTAAAATGGGGTGGTGGTGGTAATAATCGTACCTCCTGCACAAAATTTCTCTGAGTACTAAATTGCAGAATATATAAAATATTTACTAAAGTGCCTAACATCCCAGGAGTCAGTTAAGTCCACTACTTTGGGGTGCTTTCTCTGAATGATTTTCAAGTGCATGAATAGCCTTCTCCTTCCCCCCATTGATACAACATCCTCATATCATTTGTTGGATATTCACATTATAGAAGCACAACACCATAGTATTGACTTTCTTTTTCCCAGGATTGATCATGTCCAATGGCCAGGTGTGGAAAGAGCAAACAAGGTTCGCCCTGACAGCGCTAAGGAACTTTGGTCTGGGAAAGAAGAGCCTAGAGGAACGCATTCAGGAGGAGGCCCGCCACCTCACTGAGGCAATCAAGGAGGAGAATGGTGAGCATTTCATAGGACAGATGTAGGAGATTGTGGCCAATTCATTCCCTGGGCAGATATTTATGCAGTGCCTAAGTGCTTGTTCTCTGCCCAGCACTGTGCTAAGTATTCAGCATAGAATAGTGAACAACAAACCATGAACCTGCCCTCAAGGAGTTCTAGAATTAAATGCATGAAGATGAGCAAAAAACACATTACTGAATTTAAGTCCTGGTCATCAGTTTGACTGTGGCATTGACTGAGCACTTGCTGTATGTCAGCCCCAGTGAAAGGTGGTGTGGCCAGGCCTTGTGAATGGTTCAGTACTAGGTATGTCCTGTGTCAGAGAGAGTAGACTCTCAGTAGGAACTAGAACAAACCCATCTTGTCCTTCCTCCTCCTCCAGGACAGCCTTTTGACCCTCACTTCAAAATCAACAATGCAGTTTCCAACATCATTTGCTCCATCACCTTTGGGAAGTGATTTGAGTACCAGGATGGCCAATTTCAGGAGCTGCTGAGGTTACTGGATGACGCCACATATATGAGTGGTTTAATATCTTGCCAGGTAAGGCAGTTCCTTTTCTCTATATTGATCATGGACATTGGGGCTGATGTCAGACACAGATGGGTCTTTGCTTTTAGTTTTTTTTGTTGGTTGGTGTACATTGGGGGGAATTGCAGCTAGAATATATCCTTTTTAATTTAATTTATTACAAAATTATTTGAAATCCATCTGTTGAGTCTAGTGTTTTTCATAATATTAAATAATTACCAAATTTTTACAATATGCAAAAAACATTTCTATCATTCACATAAAGGACACGATTTTACATGACATACATCTATGCACCTATGTGGTTCTTTTTGAAAAGAACAATATTGCCATTGCCTTTGAGTCCCTCTTCTCTCTGTCTCTCCCCAACCCACCCCTTTCCATCCTCTGTCCCAGGTACTCTTCTGTCTCTGCTTCCTCCTCAGCAGATTGTTTTAGGATTCATCTGAGCTGGTTGCTCTTTTTTTTTTTTAACTGTGGACTAGTATTCCATTGTGTGAATGTCTATTGTTTATGTGTTCTGTGTTGATCAACATTTAGTTTTCTTCCAGGTTTTGGAAGTTATGAATAAAGCTGCCTTGAACATTCTTCTATAAGTGTTCTTGTGGACACGTCCATTCCTTGTTCCTGCATATATATGTGGACATCAAAGATGCCTAAATATTTCTAATCTGATTATGCTATTTATGTGCCCATCAACACTCACTATTATCAATCTTATAATTCACAGGGCATAGCCTTTTGGGAATGAAATCTCACTTCTTTTTTCGTGGGCCCTACACCCCAATTTTTGTCCCTCTAGACCCTTGAGTCTGTCAAAGACCATGCTTAGCTTCTTGTTCTCTTGGCTACATTCCTGAATTTGGAAGATATTTCTAGAGGAAAACTCACTACTAAGTGTTGAGTTTACCCCTGGGCTTCCTTCATCCTTTAAGCCTTATCCCTGAAATTCCCTCACTACCTTAATATGTATATGTGTGTATGTTTATATGTGTACACACCTGTGCACTTGTTTAATATTGGTGTTGTCAAGGTTGGACCTTGAATTACTGAGTCTACCATTGCCAAAATTTTCAAACATTCCTCAGTATTGAAAAAAGCACTTTATTTTTTAAAATTTCACACATAATTACAAAAGTACAAAGAGTACAGTCATGAATCACTGTGTACCCATCAGTCAGCTCCAACATTGATCAACACATGACCAGCCTCAGTTTACTAGTATACAGGCCACCCCACCCCTGAAATATTTCGAGCCAATTATAAACCTCAATAATATGATTCATGAATATTTCAGTGTATATGTCAGGCCTGGCCTCTTGGCAGACTGTTGTCCAGTTCTTTGGCCCTTAGCCTGGAAGAATCACAATCTGGCCAGTGTGATGGGGTGATCGCAGGCAGGAAGCAGTTCCACACAAACAGTTTTATTGCAGAAAGGAAGGAAGCTACACAAAATGAAAATATGTTCCAGAGAGAGGAATGGTCAATCTCCATGAGTGAAGAAAGATGTTAAAGACTCCCAGGTGGTTTCCTTTTATTGGCCTGGTCCAGGGGAGGGCTTTTGGGAGGTGTGGGAAGGTACAAGGTGAATGATATACATGACTGTAGAGTGTTCTGTGTTTTCCTGCAGTACCTTCCCCTGATTGGTCCCCAGCTCCTCCACCCCTAGTAACGGTCCTCCTGGCCTGTATCTGCCACCTGAAGATTTGGTCCCTGCAGTATAATAGTATATTTCTAAAAGGACCCATTTAAACAAAAATAAAATATTATTGCATGTGAAAAATATGAACAATAATTATTTAATACCTTTAAATGCCCAGCCAGTGCTCAGACATCTATAGATGTCTCATATGTATTCTTTTTTTGCAGGGGGGTTGTCTTTGAATCAGAATCCAAGTGAGGCCCATATATCATATTTCGTTACTGTGCCTCTAAACTCTCATTTAATCCATGGCTTCCAAACCATCTTCTTCCTGGTCTTCACAATTTATTTATTGACAGAATTGAGTCATTTGGACTGTAGAATATTCCATATTCTGGATTTTATTGCTTACATTCCTTTGATTTTTAACATGTTCTTCTATTCCTGTGTTTTATATACATTGGTAAATAAATCTAGAGGATTGATCCCCAAAAGATTTTATTTTTAGAAAAGGTTGCTTTTTAGGAGGTACTTAATGTCTGGTTGTCCCATGTTAATGTTGATCAGTGGGTTATCAGTCTGATCTATTAAATCATCCTCCATCTGCTTTTTACCTAATGGTCGGAAAAATTATTCATGATCATTACCTACATGTATTATTTCTTTGCAGGATTCCAATTGGTGATTGTAATTCTTTTTCTCCCTCTTTTCAATTGACTTATGTTTACTGATTTTGTATTGACCAAATTGGAAAACTCAATATTATAATTAATCTTTGGATGACTTCATAGACAACCATAACATATGCAAATAACGGTAGCTTTGTTTCTTCCTTTCCAACATTTATCCATTAATTACTCTTTCTTGCTTCATTGTGCTGGCTAGAGTGTCCAGTGTGCTAAAATTTTCTACCAAGATGGTGGATTGTTCTCTTTCTTGTTATATTCCTGTCAATTTTTACTTTATATCCTTTATGCTATGTTGATAGATACATATGTGTTTAAATCATTATTTCTTACTAGTAATTGAAACTTTAGCAATTATTTCGTAATGCTCTTTATGTCTATTAATATTTTCTTCCTTGAAGACTATGTTGTCTGATAATTGAGTATAGATAATTGTCTTTCCTTTGTTTAGCAAGTGGTTACTGCTCTCCTATCCTTCTACTTTCTATATTCCTATGCCCTTATATTTTAGATGCCTCCTTTTTAAACAGAGTGAAACTAGATATAATTTTCATATCCAATCTGAAAATCTTTGTCTTTTTGTTAGACCATTTAATTCCTTTTCTTTTAATCAAAATTATTACCAAATTAGAACTAATTTCTAATCATTTGTGATTTCTACTTATCTGTTCTTTTCTCCTTTTTTGATTTACTATGATTGAATGTTCTTCTCGTTTTACTTTTCCCTATATTCAGTTAGAAGATGACCAGAATTGTTCTATTATTTTAATCTTTACCTTAAAATTTTAATGTACATAATTAAACCACCAGCATCAAAATTATTTTTATCCTGTGCCAGAATAATAAAAATATTTTAGAACACAACATCTGATCAGTGATACAGACTACTAATGTCATGAATTTTACTTTGTTCTTTTTTTAATTTGAAAGTATGCATGATTATTCTGTTTTATGTAGTGAATGTTTGCTTATACTTACCCACATATTTGCCAGTTTGTTTTTTCATCATCCTATTTATTTTACAGCCTCCTCTTGAATTTCCTTTAGTGAGGGTCAGTAAGTGGCAAATTTTCAATTTCATTTATTCAAAAATGCCTTTAATTTGCTCTAATTAGAAAATTTTATCTTCACTTTTTTTTTCCTCCTTGTATGTTGAAAATGTTATTCTACTATCATCTCAGTTCCTACTGGTACCATGGAAAGTCAGCTAGAAGTGTAATTAATTGTTGTTCCTTCAAATATATTGTTTTCATATCGCTGGCCGTATTTAAGTCCTAACTCTCTTTACTGATTACTAGTTTCCCTATGGTGCATCTAGAAGTGGATTTGCTTTTATTTATTCCCGACAAGCATCTTACCTGGGAGCTTTATGGGCCCATCACACCAAAACTGATAAAGCAGTGAGCATGATTCCTGACATGGGAATAGGGCATGATGAATATGAGCTGTTATTACTGTCAAAGTTATTTTGAATTCCTTGTTTATATTGCTAGTCATGGTAGTCTCTAGTTCTGCAATTCTATTTGCCTCCTTCCTACTAATATAGAGTCTAGGAGGTCATGAGAGGTTATTGGGTGCCCAGCTGACTGCTGAGTCCATGTCTCCGGGAAGAGAGCACAGGAGCAGAAAGGTAGGAATAATAAGCCTTTCTTGGAGTCTCAGAATATCCCAGGCTCCTTAATGGACAACAACACTTACTTTATCTCCATTAATTTTCATGACAACTGTATAAAGATGAAATGAAGCAACATAATGTGTGCAAGCTGGCATGGGACTGTGCAAGCAGGTACAGAGCTGGCACCACAATGTCTCCATGATCGTTTTGTTCTTCTCAATTAGCTCTACAGTATCTTCCCACGGATAATGGAATTCCTTCCCGGATCCCACCAAACTGTCTTCAGAAACTGGGAAAAACTGAAATTGTTTGTTTCTCAAATGATTGAAAAACACAAGAAAGATTGGAATCCTGATGAAACAAGAGACTTTATCGATGCTTACCTCAAGGAAATGGCCAAGGTGAGGAAACCAAGGTTGTTTCCTACATTTTGTCCTTAGAGGCAAAAAGGGCTACGCTAGTTTCCTATTGCTGCTGTATCAAATTTCCACAAACTTGATGCTTGAAATAGCACAGATTTATTCTCTTACAGTTCTGGATGTCAGAAGTCTGAGATGGGTTTCACGGAGCTAAAGTCAAGACGTTGGCTGGGCTAACTCCTGTTGGAGGCTCCAGAGAAAAATTAATTTTTGTAACTTTCCTGGCTTCTAGAGGCTGCTAATATACCTTGGCTTGTGGCCCCATCCTCCGTCTTCAAAGCCAGTGGCATAGCCTCCTCTCTGCCTCTGGTCTCTGTTTCCATCCTTTTGTCTTCTCCCTCTGGCTTTGACCCTCTTGCCTCTCTCCTATAAAGACTCTTCTCATTACATTGGGCCCACTGGGATAATCCAGGATAATGTTCCTATGTTAGAATTTTTATCATAATCCCATCAGCATAGTCTCTTTTGCCATATAAATTAACCCTCAAGGTGCCAGAGCTTAGGATGTGGATGGACATGTTTGTGCGCCATATCTCTGCCTCCCACAGGCGAGTCAAACCCCTCGAGGCAGTATTTCAGAAAGTGTAGGGTAGCATTAACTCAGGACTTCTGAGGCAATTAGAAATAAAGATGGGGGTTAATGTAGATGACCAATACTGCCTTTCATCCCCATCCTCTCCCTCTACCCATATGTGAGGGGCTATACATAATAGGGAAAATAGGAGTTGAGCCTCAAAGCTTTCTTTTTTCATTAGTTGGGTCTGGGCCCAGTGGCCCACCCCTTCTGTCATCCCCCACTGCAGAATGCAAGGAAAGCTGCGCTGGGTGCCACACTTAAACCTTAAGGCCTGAGTGGGGCTTTGCCTTCCCCCTTCTCCTGATAGCATCCACTTTCCAACATCATAGACCAGAAGCCAGACTGGGGAACACATGCCCTTTTCCACCATGACCCCACTGGCAAATATATGCCACTGAATTAGCACCATAATCTTTACACATCAATTATTGGGATCTCCTCATGGAGTGGGCAGAATGGTGGATTTCTTTACCTCTTATTTCACCTTATTGGCATAACATTAATAGAGCATTGTCTTCTGCCAGATGAGGAGATTTTACTGGCTTGATGGTGTGCACCTATGAGACCATGAATATTAAAAGCAATGTTGGACAAATGGAAGATTTCAGGGGACCATTGTAAAGAGGACGGGTTCTCAGGAAAAATGGTTATGCCATCAGAGTGGTTCTAATTGGAAAAGAAAAGTTTGAGGGGACAGGACAATTGTTCATAAGATGAATTCTGTGTATTATTTCTGTTTCCAGTACGAACATGTGTTGGGTATTTGCTATGTGCCCTCACATCTCACATCATTCATAATGTCATCCTAAGAGATGTGTATGGTTATTTCAATTTTATAAAATAGAAAACCGAAGCACAGAAAGGTTAAGTAACTTGCTTTGGGCACTATAGCTGCTAAGTGAAGTGGCTGATACTGGAAGCCAAATCTGTCTTGTTCACATCCCACACTCTTTCCACTGGACTAACAGCTTCCTTCAAATTACAGACATCAGAAAATAATTGTCCTTCATTTTCATCTTCCCAAAAAGCTTCTAGCACTTGGGGCAAAACAATGCTAATGATATTGCTGTAATAATTCCCTGCCTCCTCAGGAAGCCAAAGGGAAAGTTGTTTCTTCTGGGGACCTTTCCTTCCAATCTCCCTCTGAGGGTGAAGACCCTGCGTGTTATGGTAACCAGGAATCCTGCGAATAAACCAACCTGTAACATTAAATATTATTGTTCCTAGAATGCAGAGAAGGCTACTTCAAGTTTCCATGAAGATAACCTCATCATTAGCACTCTGGACCTCTTCTTTGCTGGAACCGAGACAACTTCTACGACCCTGCGCTGGGCTCTGCTTTACCTGGCCCTCCACCCAGAAATCCAAGGTGGGTGTGTCAGTGTGCGTGCCCCGCCCAGGACACAGTGATGCTTCCTCGGATGAACTGCTGAATGTTGGAGTCAGAAGAGAACATGGTGGAATGGAAGAAGTAGTAGAATAGTCAGGAGGTAATAGGGACTTGGGAATGGGCACATTCTTCAAATTGTCAGAGCTGTGATGGGCCCAGGTAATGCAAATATAAGATAATACCTCAAGAAGCTCAGAGTCAAGGGGGAAAACAGTGAAATGAGTCAACATCCTGGAAACTTCTATGTAAGAGTTCCATTCGCATGTGAATATCTAATGCTACCCTTCCCATCTTTTAAGTAATGCCTTCCCATTTCTTCTTGATAATGTCCAAAGTCCTGAGCCCAGTATATGATCCCTCTGATGTGCCCCTTTCTGCCTGACCAGTCTCTGTCCCACCCATCCCTCAGGGGCTTCCTCCCTGCACTACATGCCATTGTCTTTGCACTGTCATTGTTTATGCCTCTGTGTCCAGACACCTGCTCTTCTCTCTACCAAGAACGTGCTTCCCAATTTCTCTACATAGTAAACTTGTACCTCTTCTTGAAATATCTGCTCAAATACTCCTTCCAAAGATGTTTCTCCATTGCCCTGGGAAATTATGAGCATTTTCTGCCTCTAGAGATGATTCAGTTTGCCTCTATTATTGGGCTTGTCCCACATTATTTCTATAGTTTCCCCACAGACCATGTCCACTCAAGGGCAGTGACTGTTCCCATCATTTCTCTTCCTCTAGGTTCCAGAACAATTTGAGCACCTGAGGGATGGGAACTGTTATGATACAGTTTTTCACATTGTGGGTAACACTTATTAATGAGGCATAAACTCAATTTAATGGATCAGGACTAACTATTTTCCTTAAGATAAATATAGAAAAGAAAAGATCAGGGTGTTTTCCATGTACTAAGGGTAAGTTTGTTCATGGAATTTTATATCTTCCATATATCAGTGCCTAAATGTGTGCTTTGTATGTGTGTATATACACGTACTTGCATCCTGAGTCATGATGTAAAATGCATTTGTAACTGTGGATTACATTTTTAAAAAGGTATAAAAGCTACTGTTATAGGGTATAGATTTGGCTTATGAATTGAGGCTCCAAAATAACAATGGATTAAAATGACAGACGTTTACACTCATGTTCATAGCAATAATGTTCACAATAGCCAAGAGGAAGAAGCAACTGAGTGTTCACTGATGATGAATAGATAAGCAAAATGTGGAGTATACATACAATGGAATATTATTCAGCCTTAAAAAGGAAGAAAATTCTGACAACAAATTTCCACATGCTACAACATGGACAAACCTTCAGAATATCATGCTAGGTTAGGCTGATTACAAAACACAACTACTGTATGATTCCACTTCCATGAGTTGTCTAGAGTACAAAATTCATAGGAAGAGAAAGTAGTATGGTACTGGCTAGAGGGTAGAGGGAAATGGGGGTTGTTTACTGGATATGGAGGTTCAGTTTTATAAGATGAAAATGGTCTGCAGAATGTTTGTATAGCAATGTGAATATATTTAACACTTCTGAACTATATACGTAAAATGGCTAAAATAGTAAATTTTATGTTATGTATATTTTACCCTGCTTTAAATTTTTAAAAAAATAATCAACAGAAAAAAATGATAGAAGTTTATTTCTCTCTCAGGTAAAAAAATCTAATCTGGACTTTGCAAAGCACTTCGGGTTTCAACTCCTTCCACTTGTTGCCGTTGTGTCTAGAGTGATTTCCTTGCTGGCTGTCTCTAACATGCTCCTACTAGGGCTGCCTTTCCACCCTAGGAAGGGAAAAGGGGGAAACACAGACCCTTGCTTTAAGGGCTTGTTCCAAGGATTAATCATCACTTTTGCTTACATTCTGTTGTCCATAACTGAGTCTCATGGTCACACTTAGTCACAAGGGAATCTGGGAAATGTACACTTTAGCTGCACAACCAGGTATCTAGGGAAAATCTTTAGAAAAAGAGAAAGAAAAGATATTAGGGAACAGCCACCACTTTCTATAATTTGTTGGGTACTCACCTACATCAGTTCATGAATCCCAAAAGATCCTTAAGATGAAGGTAGATTGAGCCTCATTAATCAGATGGGGAAACTGAGGTTCAAAGTGTTTAAGTAACTAGTGTCAGTAAAGTTGTAGAGCAAGAGTTTGCAACCCCAAAGGACATATGTCAGGTCCCAATATACACTCTTATGTACATCCTTGAGAAGTTACAGTCTATACTTGTGCAATGGTCTGAGTATTGGCACCCATTCCCCCAAATTCATATGTTTTAGACTAATTCCCATGTGTTTATATTAGAAGGTGGGAACCTTTGGGAGATGAGTAGCTCATCTATGCATCAGTGCCCTTATAAAAAGATCTTAGGGAACTGACTTCCCTTTCCACCATGTGAGGGGGTAGTGAGAAGGTGCCGTTTATATGCCAGAAAGTGGGGCTTCACCAGACACCAAATCTGCTGGTGACTTGATCTTGTATATCCCTGGCTCCATAACTGTGAGAAATAAATTCCTGTTGTTTATAAGTCACCCAGGTAATGGTATTTTATTTCAACACCCTGATTACACAAAGACAAGATCCCTTCTACAAGCACATTGATCCTACTTATTCCATTCCTTAGCTGAGCCCGACTCAAAGAGAGTTATGGAATTGGCAGTTTTCTAAAAAAGCCCTTTGAAAGACTAAGAACCCTATTATTTCTTTGTGGTCTGATCAGTAATTGAAATACAACAAATGAGATCTTAGAGACCACTCCTACATCTGTAGATGAAAGCACAAAAAATAATGAAACTTCTTCTTCTTTTTCAGAAAAAGTACATGCTGAGATTGACAGAGTGATTGGCCAGGAGCAGCAGCCCAGTGTGGCCGCCCGGGACTCCATGCCCTACACCAATGCCGTCATCCACGAGGTGCAGAGGATGGGCAACATCATCCCCCTGAACGTGCCCCGGGAAGTGACAGCCAATACCACCTTGGCTGGGTACCACCTGCCCAAGGTGAGCAGGCACTCCCAGCCTCAGCTCTCCAAGCCACTCTATGAGATGCTGGAAATAGGAACTTGAGAAGTGACATGTGTTCTTGTCCTGAGGAGTCATGTGAATGAGGAGAATGCTGTGTTACAGCTGATATAATACTAGATTCTTCTCATGTGTGGCCTTTAAAATGTTAGTTTAACTAGATATCAAGTGCTATTGTGGGGAGGGGAGGGGGAGGATTCCAGGCCAAATGTGTTTAGGCAAAGACTGGCTTTCCTTTGCTGTGGGGCTCTCAGCATGTTCACTATGCTGAGTTGTGAGTGTCTGTGGGCACAGCAGGCAGCAGTTCTAGGGCAGACTCTGCCACAGGTGCCTTTGCTTTGCCTTGGTAGAGCATCTCACAGGACTAGGGACCTGGCCAGACTGTGAAAAATTCTGCTTCATGGTCCTGGGGTTATAGAATGTGAGAATGTGAAAGGCTATTTGACACCACGTGGACCAACGTCACATTCATGCTCGTGTTTCTAACATTATATCCCCACAAGTATTTTTCTAGGTTTTATGTACAGACTCATATTGGGGAACTTCCTATCTCATGAGGAAGCCAATCCTGGTGTGTACAGAATTAAGTATTAGAAAGGAGAGAACGGAGGGAACACTAACGTCTTACTCAGTTCTCAGTATAAATCTGTAATTCCCATTTTATGAATTGGAGATCAAGGCTCAGAGAAATCAAATTTGCTGGGATCTCTCAACTACAAAGTGGCAAGATTTGGAGATTCAGAACCAGATCTATTCTTATGTTTTGTACCACATCATGCTCTCTCACCAGGAGTTGCTTTTCTTTGATTTTAGAAACATCTCCCTGCAATGTTCTCAATTGGTCGCTGTTAATGTCATGTCCTGAGGAAGGGACTATGATCTCACTCCACCTGCCACTCTTGTGATCTGCGCACATAGCTCTCCTTTGCCCTCTGGAATCCTCTCCCTACACTGCACCCTTACAGTTCCTACTCTTGCTTCCTCACCACCTTGACCAGCCTCTGTGGCTCTACTCCAGTTTGTCTAAGTCCTTCTAAGTATATCCTCTCCCATAGGAGAGGATCTCAATATGTTGGAACAGAAGAGCTTGCCCATTGGATTCTGCTTGGTAACTTTCCCTTTACTATATATCCTTACTGAATGACCATCTTGTGGATAAAGGCTGAGGTCTAAATTCCCCAGGTGCTGTTTGCATTTTTCTAGCAATTCATTTAACTCTAGGGAACCAGCCCAGCTCAATAGACTTCTACCACTGAGTTTTAATGTCAGCTTTATCAACCATCCCGGGAATGGAGAAATCGAATTAACTATATGTTACAGAGGCTAGAGCCATGGCTTTGACATCAGATTGACCTAGCTCAAGTCATAACTCCACCCTCTCCACTGTGGGACTCTGGAAATGCCTTTTAACCTCTCAGAGCTTCAATTTCATCATCTATAAAATCCATTTGGACCTACCTCATGGGATCCAAAACTTAAGATGAGATCATGCATGTAGAGCATTTAACCCAGTGCTTAGTATAGAAAGTACTCAACTTGGCAGTTATTATTTTTTATTAATTCAACAAATATTCATTAGGCACCCAAAGTGCTCAGGACTGGAGTAAGAACCCTGAGCAAAATAATCATGCAACTACATCCTTACAAGCATGCTAACTGCCCACAGGAAAGAACTCACTGGGTTCTATACAGGTGCAGACTGGCAGGAGTGGTCAGGGAAGGCTTCCAGAAGGAAGTGAGGTTTGAGCTGAGGATTAAAGGATGATTAAGAGGCAGGTAGCTCAGTGACAAAGTGGGGAGGAATGATCTTCCTGGCGAGGCAAACATGTAAAAAAGCACTGAAATTTGAGGACAAGCGATGTGTTTGAGAAGCTGACAGGAGGCCACCATAGAGGGAGCACAGGCAGGGGTGGACAGTGGCCCAGGCAGGGGTCAGGCAAGGGGGCTTCACCCTGAGAGTGATGGGAAGGTGCTGAAGGGTCTGGAGTGTGAGGGCTGAGCCTGTGGCTGATGTCCCTAGATCATGCTCGAGGCTCGCTCCGCTTTCAGGGCATGGAGCTATTTGAAAGGGGCAAGAGGATGTGGGCACAGCTAGCGGCTATTACAGGGAAGTGCCAGCCTAGACTAAGGCGGTGGTGGTGGGCATGGAATGCAGGTGACAGAATCAAAATAAATTCAAAGTAAAATGGACCAGTCTCACTGATGGGTTGGATGAAGGCAGAGTGGGGGAAAGGCTCACTCTGGGGTTTCCTGGCTTTGCTAGTACTTGCCTGGCTGGAGAGGGCTCCCATCACTGGGCTGCCTGGTGCTATTATTAGACCTGCTATGGGGAGTGGGGGCAGGGTACAGGTGTTGGAGGGAAGAGAATAGGAGAAACACAGGTGAAGGCCACGTCCTTTACCCGTGTGGAGCTGCTGCAGTTAGCACTTTATGACCAGTTCATGGAGAATGTGGACGGAGCAGATGTTGCCTTATTCTTCCATGCATGCATACATGACTCCTCCCAAGATCTACACTGACCTGTCTCTGCACGGAAGATCCGTTCTTCACTCAAATGTAGCCAGATTTTTGTGGTAGAATTCCCAGCAGGCAAATCTAGTCTAACTGGTAAGCTGTCTTGTGCAAAGTGGTGGTATTGGGGAGGGGAGCCAGCTGATGTAACTGTGGGTACGTTGAGGAGGGTGAGTCAGGCCCTGGCACAGATGCCCAAGGACCACTGGCCCCCTGAGTGGGTATGTTGGAAGGATTAAGCCTTGAGTCTTTGCTGCCTTCTCTAGGGGACTATGATCATGACCAACTTGACTGCGCTGCACAGGGACCCCGCAGAGTGGGCCACCCGGACACGTTCAATCCCGAGCATTTTCTGGAAAATGGACAGTTTAAGAAAAGGGAAGCCTTCCTGCCTTTCTCAATAGGTGAGTTGTAATAGACAGTCGTGCGGGAGTCCAGAATCCCTCTCCCAGCCTCCCCTGCTCTTCTCCCTGCAGTCCCAAAGTGTGCAGATGGCCCCGCCCAGCACCACTCCATCTCCCTGTTGGTTGCTGCACCAAGACCCCCTGGCTGGGCAGTGCTCAGCCTGCCCTTCCTTCCCACGCCCTTCTAGCCTCCGCTGGACATGTCAGCTTCCCTTGTGCTGTCCTCCAGATCACGGGGACAGACACCCTAACCCCACCTGTCCCTCACAAAGAGGGGGACATCTGCCATCTTAATTGAGTTAATCTCCCAAGATCATTTTAACGGATGCCCATTCACACAGACATAGAGCTGATCTACAATAAGGATAGAGGGAGGATCAAGGGAAAGGGGTTATTTATCCACACTGAATATCACTGACTTAACTAGATTGGGTTCTGCTCTATAAGCACTTCCTGAAGACGTCCTTTTGCTTTTTTTTTTTAATTTTAAATCTATTTAATACATTTTCATGGCAAACAACTTGAAAAGTAGGAAATAGGGTGCTGGGAAAACTCTTTATGTCCTGTTTGTAAGCTAATAATTTCAAAAGTGTTTTTTTAACACTTCATAACATTATGAAATCAATAACAAAAATTTTTAGTATATTCCAGGTGTTGAGTTAATATGTTGCATAAATGTTTTCAAATAATTTCCCATTTTCTTATTTCAAAAATATTTCTGGACCATGTATTATGTGTCAAGCATTCAGCCCTAAGGATGTGACAATGAATGTATGAAACAGAAAACAAAACAAAACTGCCCTCATGGTGCATTTTTTCTAGTGTAATCTACAAGGTTCAAATTACTATCACCACTTACAAATAAGGAAACTGAGGCTTAGCGAAGTATGGAAATTAAGTCATAAATTTCATGTGGCAGAGTTAGTTCTCAGTCACAACCAGATTTATCATGAATAAAGCTTGTGTTCTTCCTAACAGTATCTACTGACAATAACTAAATGCTACACAGAACTCACACTGTGGAGTGCATTATAGTTTTGCTTATCACTCACTTAAAATATGTGTTGATTTTCTAAAATAGTATCATTGTGCTTCTGATGACACTATGGCCCAGAAAGGGATGAACTGGAGTTTGAACTTCTATCCTTGTGACTACAAAGCCCCTGTTTTCCCACTGTGCTGTGCTGCCCTAATTGTGTAGGCTGATTCTGATTATAACCTATTTGTCCTTCTTCATCTGGTTCTACGTCACCTTTGTTCACATTGAACAAGTCACTGCTAGTACAAAAGTAGATATAAGATGTTGGAATTCCTTCCAGTCTTCCTGCCTATTAATATAACAGTTTCAAATTTTTTGTTACAGCAAAAAGTTTCAGCTGTATATTTTAATTATTATATTTTTTTCTTGTCCCTCTCCTGTATCACATCCATGAAATGCTGAAATACTAGAAATGTGACCCTTTGTGCATTCCACAAAAATGCTTTGCCTAGTGCTTGCTGCACCTGTGATGAGAGGAATCTCGTTACATGTCAATGGCTTTAAAAGGAAGAAGGTTCCTATAGGCTATACGCTAAGTGATTTCTGGATGCCTCTCCTTCCTATTATGGAAGCCTCTTCCTCATAGTGGCTTCCTGTCTCAACCTGCTAAAAAAAATTTACTCCTCTGCATTAGCTGTAGTATAAAAAACCCAAAATAAACAGAACTACACACAGTGACTCACTAGTGCTTTGGTACTGAGAATTGTATTACACCCTGCTAATTAGAGACTTGATGTGCAAGCAAATTATCTCATTTAGTCTTTACAACAACCCATTGTAAATAATTAGGCAGGAGATGGATTAGTGTCTCCTTTTTTAACACAGGAAGCTAAAACTAAAACAGAGTTATTTTTTATCCAATATCATATGGCCAAACAATTGGTAGAACAGCACCTAAGACTCCAGTTTTTGTACTTCTAGTCTAGGGCTCCCTCCAGTATACCTAGAATGTAACTTACTTCTCCATTTACAGGCCTCTCCACTTTAAGACTCACTGATTTCATTCCATATGTATCAATTAACACATTGGCATCAGGGCATTTGGAGCCCCACTTGACCTGTGTACAGGGGAATGATTCCCAAATTCTGACTAACTCGCACCAACCATACCTCTCCTTTGTTTGGAAGCAATGCCTTTTGATCTGTGCCCTTGCATAGACTCAAGCACACTTTCACTCAGGTCATCATACGCATGCTGACCCTTCATTTGGGTCCTCACACATATACTTTGTCCTCTCAAACACTCAAGCAAACATACACAGTGCAGGCACTCTTGCATTCCAACAGGAAAAACCACTACTTAGCAATAAACACATGAGACTGTTGTAGAGTCCATGAAAATTCTGAAAGATCTTACTCTTGCCCTGTGGATGTACAGTACATCAAGTGTAACAGGATACTCCATTTTACTATAAACAGATTTATCTGCTCTCTTTGATTACATTACAAAACAAAACCCGAGCGTCGAACTCCTATATTATTGCCCTAATGTATGCACAGTTTCAGCAACAATAATCACAAAATAAAACAAAAAGTTGCACACATATCTAACTGTTCTAATCTGTGAAACATTTTACGATGTTTCTTAGGAGAAATTGAACATTTTATAGCCTTTTATATATTTATTTTAAGACAGGTGTTTGAAAATCTCAATGACAACCATATGGGTCATCAGGACTCACTTGAGTGAGTCAAAAACCTAAACAACGCATATATGCACCATCCAATGCAAGTGTGTTAATATATTGCTATATAACAAACTGTCCAAAACTCTGTGACTTGAAACAAAAACCACGTGTGATTGCTCACAAGTCTACAAGTCAGATATGTGGCTCTTCTGATCTTGGCTGGGCTCTCTTCATCTCTCTGATCTCTCTGATCTAGGCTGGGAGGTCAGCTGGCTGTAGGCTCATTGAGGATGTTGTCAGCTGGGACAACAGGACACATTTTATGTTATCTCTCATCCTCCAACAAGCCAGCCTGGCTTGTTCACATGGTGGTGGATGATGTCACAGGAGTGAGAATGGAAGCACACAGGCTTCTGAAGGTCCAGGCGGAGAATGGGCACAATATCAAGTCCACTGCATTCTTTTGGCCAGTGCAAGTCATGAGGCCATTCCTAATTCAGGGGGATGGGAAATTGCTGTCACTTTTTATGGGAAGAGCTATGATGTCACATTGCAAACGATGTGGATCCAGACAGGAGGAAATTGGAGCTGTCTGTCATGTTCTCCCCATCTCTCTTCCTGAGAATGAAATTCAGCAGTTTGGCTGGGGAGTCCTGCAGAAGGTGTGATGGAATGAGGGCCAGTTAAATGGAATAAGAGACAGGAACCTGAAGAAACCCAGGGGCTAACAAAACATCAGCACAACTGTCTGGTTTCTCCACAACGCCCCCATCTCTGACACACAGTGGCTTTTCCTCTCTCTTGGTGTAGCACTTTCTAAAGACAGCCTCCCTGGAAGAATGAGGTGTGGGCAGCTGTCTCCCTTCTCCTTAGAAAAATGACCGGGTGTGGAATTACTACATGTGCATAGTCTGCACATTTCTATTTCCTTTTCCTCATTTAAATTCTTCCTGATTGATCCATCAAAGCAGCAGGCAGCTTCATGAAAGGCAAGAGCCTAGCTCCTCAGTTTCCAAATAACATCATTAGATCAGAGGAGATAGGATTGGAAAGAACTTTGCCAGAAACCCAGCTCAGTTCTCTCATTTTACTACTGAGGCAATTGACCAGGGGGGTTCGTGATGGCCAATTAGTTGAAGTACCACAGACAGGGTACAAGTATCCTTTCATCCAGGCGAAAGGTTTGAAATCTAATAGTCCTAATTTTCATGCTTTTAAAAGCAAATTCATACCTGCTATCCTATTGGGATCCTTGCCCAGCCATTTAACACAGAAGAGAGATTTTTCATGTATTTGACAAGTGAAGTTTAGCTCTGTGAGAATGAATGGTTTACTAACAGTCACACAGGTAGGCATTGATGGAACTAGTTATTTTAACCCTTGTTCCTGACTTCCTGGGTCCAGCTTCATAATAATATCTGATTCTTCTAGGAGAAGCTTGGATATTTACAATATGCTAATATGATATCATTTTTAAACAAGTTGCTAATTATGCTATATGTGGTGGGTAAAAAGATAAAGATGAGGGGAACAGAGATGAATTAGACATATGCTGGTGGGAAACACAGGCACACAATAATAAAATGACATAATCATGAAGGACATTTACATTTATTAGGCACCATTGAATGCACAATTTAATTTTATTTCCTCAACAAGTTGTTACTGGAAAAGAACCAAATTTAGGCATGTGTACATTAGTAAATTTGCAAGAATATTTAATTACATGGCAAAACTCCAAAGTAGCAAAAGCAGCATATAGACTTAACTATGGGGAATAATGCCTGCTATGGAGTCCAGGGGAGTCCTTACTAGGACAATGAGAAAACATGGCAAAATGTTTAAAAAGGTTTTGTCTGGATTCTGAGATTACACATATTTTTTATTTTCTTCTTTATACTATTTTTCCTGCTTATTTTCTCTTTTTGCAGTTGATATACATTACTTAGGGAGGAAGTAAACTAATAAAATGCACACGGGAGAGATGGTGGTACACACAGGTGTCAGGTATTTCAGCCCAGGTGTGGGGAGGAGGATATTCACTCAAGGAAGGGACAGCAGTAGCCTAGAGCAGGTCTCAGAGCCCAACAAGATGAGGAGGGGTCTGTACGGTGTGGCCTTAGCAGTGATCGAAATGAGTTAAATGGAAGGTATACTGACCCAATGAGTAAATATATTCAGGATATAGGAGCAAGTAAGAAATAGGGAAAGGGAAAAAGTAGAATGAACTCTGTGGTATTGGATTGCTATTGGGGTTAATTGATATGAACTGAGATTTTTAATAGATATAGAAATATAGATATAAATATGGGGATATAGACACACATTTGAATATATGCTCATATACACCCATATATTCTCCAGCTCTGCCCACTAAGATGACCTAGGAGCAGCAACATCTGGAGTGCACTGAGCATGCCTAATGCCCAGATGTTGATTTCTATATATCTGTATGCACTAAATGGAACCAGAACTTTTCGGAAAATGATGGATTTGTGAGCTGGAGAACAGAAAGTATAAGATAAACCTGATATATATTGTGCCAAAAAGACAGGAAATGCCAGCTTGAATGGCATTTCCAATGGCCAAATATGGAATATTTTGAGCATCAAAACAAGTAATGATAGTAACAGATTTTCACCATTTGAATAAAAATAGGAATCCCATGAATCCAAACTTATATAAATCAATGGCTGAATAAATAGATGGGGAGGAGTGCAATTTACTATCAAGTAATTCAGTATAAATAATCTCTATTTATTAGCAAGTTTTTGTATATTTGAATTTATTTCAGAATAAAAGGCACATCATGGAAAATATCATAGTAAAGAAATGTAATGTGCAGAGACCTATTTTACTAACCCTGCCACCCAAAAAGTTTTATTTAAAGGTTTTCTTTTATTTTTTATTTTCATTTTTTAGGGACAGTTTCTTGCTCTGTCACCCAGGCTGGAGTACAGTGGCATGAACATAGCTAATTGCAGCATTGAACTCCTGGGCTCAAGTGATCTCAAGGCTTAGCCTCTGGAGCAGCTGAGACTACAGGTGTATGCCACAATGCCCAGCTAATTTTTTCTACCTTGTGTAGAGATGAGTTCTCACTATAGGGCTCAGGCTACTCTTGAACTCCTAGCCTGAAGCGATGAATCCCACCTGAGCCTCCCAAAGTGCTGAATTACCAGAGTGAGCCACCACACCTAGCCAAAGTCATCCTTTAAATTGTATTCTTCTGTGATTACAAAATTAACCATGTCAAGTTAACAATAAGCTATTATACAGCTAGAAGGTTTACTATTATCTAGGTGACATTTTAAAATACTTTACTTTTGCTGTATAAATTATTAAATTATTTGACACTTTTGGATTCAGTATGTAGCCCAAACAATATATAAAATAAAGTTCTCATCATAAATACACATACATTTTCACTAATACCTACAGAGTTTGCTTAATTTGCCCCAATCACATGGCTACAATGTAGGAGGAGTAGAATTGGACCTCTGTCCTTCTGATTCCAGTTCACCCAAACATAACAGGGAGTGGGACGGGACCAGGGCAGTGCCAAGTGTGAGCTGTGGAGAGCAGGACCCAGCCTCAGGCCCCACTTTAGAAGCAATGGCTTGTATGGGGGCAGGACCACCATGTATCAGAAGGACTATGCAAAGAGGGAGGCTGAACCAGTTCCAACATAGAGGACCATCCATGCCAGTGAGGACTCCATGATTAAGGAGGAGAAGGTGGCATAGGAAAGAGATGACAAGAATGTTAGAAACCCTGCTCTGATAGTTACTGAATTATATTTTGGACAGTTGCCTTTTAAGGATTGGTAGACATTAACACAGTGTTTTAATTATTGTTTTCTTGTCTGATTTGGTGTTTTTTCATGTGAGTTTTTAAAGTTCTTAGGCTAGACACTTTGTAGGTTAGTCCCCCTCCCAGTTCTATGGTCCCAAAAGTTACACCTTCATCCCACAACCACACCTGGCTGACCTCTGAAGGCATTTGGCTTTGTGAGTCGGGATTTCTGCTTCCTGTGCCTGGGTGAACCCAAGTGGTGGTCAGACTTACGCTGCTGCCCATAAAGCCCTTCCTCAGCTCAGGATTTACAGGTTGTGGCTGAGGATCCCAATCCCTGCTATGCACCAGTACCACCTGGGAGGACAACTCATGTTTTGATTTTGTCTTTCAGGAAAGCGGGCATGCCTTGGAGAACAGTTGGCCAAGTCTGAGCTCTTTATTTTCTTCACTTCCCTTATGCAAAAATTTACCTTCATGCCCCCAAACAATGAGAAGCTGAGCCTGAAATTCAGAATGAGCATCACCGTCTCTCCAGTCAAACACCGCCTCTGCGCTGCTCCTCGGGCGTGACATGGCAGGGAAGAAATGGATAAAGGGAAGTAAGAAGAATGGGCATGTGTTCTAAAGACACTGGTCACTGCAGAGGTGTGAGGGGACATGTGGCCCTGGGGAAAGATAAGAAGAAATGGACTGCGAGGAAACTATATCCAATTCTGAGCTCTGCTGTCTCATCTGAATTGGCCTTGGGAAAATCATTTCTGTGCTGAACAATTTACCTTTTCATCTGGGAGAGAAAAGTGGACAATGATTCCTTCCCTAAAGAAAGTTCTTGTGAGAATCAAAGGAAATAATGGCCTTTAAGTGATTTGTAAGCCATAAAGCACATCACAAAAGTTACAGCAGTAGTGTGCCTCTGCCCAGCTTCCATTGTTAGATGTGTATTTGCTTCTGGCCTGCTGAGAGAGCTTAGGTCAAAGTGGTGCAAAATAGTAAATAGGATTTAAAAATGGGCCCTCGGAGCAGCCACAGAGGTGATCCCTAAAGGCTGTCTCATTTGCTCCCACTGTGCTCATTTTATTTTGTTCATGCCTCAGAGTGGTTCTCTGAGAAGTTAGTAGGGCAGGTATTGTTCCCTATTGATAGAGAAAGCAAGTGTTGTTGACGCAGTTTCTATGGATGACGTAAGGAAACACTACCATGGCCTTAGATCCAGGGCTAAGTAGAGTGTGTCCCCAATAAACCAACCTGGGAAGCAGGTTTGGGGGAAAAATGTGGAATATTTTCTGTCCTTAAGAGTACCTCTTTGCCTTAAATATTCCCTCAGGTACCAATTCTCAGGCTGTTTCACATTGGATTTATCTGTGTGGTAGGCATGATCTTTTCTTACAACTAGATTCTAAGGTTTTGGTGGGCCCTGGGAGAGTATTTTCTAGCAGGGAATCAGGAATGCCACATACCTGCTCAACCCTTCTGGGTTTAGCTGCTGAGGGGAGACAATGCTCATGAAGAGAAGGGCATTAACGCTATACTTCAAGGAGATTTGACCACAGTGCCAATGCAGACAAACAAATAAAATGCCTGGGAATCTGGGCTACCGCTTATAAAAAGATCTCTGTTTTCCTCAAAGTGGTGTCTTAGTCTGTTTTCTGTTGCTATAACACAATACCTGAGACTGCATAATTTCTACTGAAAAGTTTATATGCCGATGGTTCTGGGTGCTGGAAAGTCCAAAAGGGCATGGTGGCAGCTTCTGGCAAGAGCTTTTGTACTGTGTCATAATATGGTAGAAGAAAGGAAGGGCAAGCAACTATGTGCAAAACAGAGAAAGCATAAGGTGCCGGACTCACTTTATGGCAGCCCATTCTCTGGATCACTAACCCACTTAGGGGGAAATGACATTAATCCATTTGTGAGGGCTCCACCCTCCTGACTGAAAAACCTTACATTGGGCCCCACCTCCCAACACTGCAGCATTGGGTAACAAGTTTCAATAGAAGCTTTGGAGGGGAGAAATACCAACACCATAGGAAAGTGGTTAGACCTATGTAATTTCAGTAGCCTAAAACACAGCATGCCATGAAGCTATGGTGCTTATCCTTCTTGTTTCTTGGGATTCAGAAAAAAGCCAATGCAACTGGCACTGTGAGAATGGGAAACAGAGAAAACGAATGGGGGAAGGTGTTTGGCTGGAGCCTGCGTAGGTTGGCTGAGACAGCCAAGAAAAAAATTTGTCTGGAAGAAATGGTTGGATTTTTAATGTGTGGGTGGAGTCTTTGGTCCTTATTGCCTGTTAGAAGGAAGAATGGAAGTGAGCGCCCCATGCATGTGCACTTTCTTTGTAAACCACTGCAAAGTTGCATCTATAGAAAACAGGCCAAGTGATAGTCTGAGAATAGAACCAATTAAATCAGGCCTTGAACTTGGACTTCCTAAACTTTCAGGACCTTGTCTTCCATTTTTCCCCCCAATAAGATCACCCAAGTAGGAGATTCAAACGAAAATTGATCAAAATACATTATGTGTCTCAGTTTCTTCATGTGTAAAATAAAGGATTTGTTGAAGTCATCTCTAAATTCCATTCCTGCTCTGCTGTGCATTGTCCATGATCCTAGATGGGCAGGTACACACTCATTTCTAGGGTGATAAATGTAAACTCACTGGGGACTTATCCTGGCCTAAGGGATGCAATGGGACTCAGGGCCAAGTAGGATGTGAGCACGATTAGCAAGAACCTTTGGAGAATAGATAACTGGAATTGAATTTTCTGGCCGTATAAAATGTCTCTTTCTTTTTTTTTTTTTTTCCAAAGCTTGCTGGAGAGGCTCTAAGCTGTCCAAGCATGACATGAAGATTTTGTTGCACACACTTTTGTAACTCTATTATGGCTATATCTACTTGGAAGGCTCCAGGGCCCCTTACCCTCTTCTTTTGTATCAGTGCCTGGCACACAGTGTGCAAGCAATATAACGTGACCTGTGGCATTGTGGGCCATAAGTGAATTTTAACAAATGGCAACCTAGGCTGCGAATCTCCTCTCCACCACTCTCCTACAAAGAGGCAGAGACATATGCAGGCTGCAGGATAAATGTAAAACGAGGTTGGATATCAAGTGACTTAAAGCAGAGAAGAGCAGGACACACACGATATCCAGAGCACTCATGGAAGTGTTCCGGGTTGGGCACAGCTGGACTGCATGCACCAGGGAGAAGTCCAGGAGAGGGACCACCCTCACAGTGCCCCGCATACTTGCAGACAGGAGGCAGGGGCTGGTTAGGAGAATAAGTAGCAAGCACAGCTCCGTGGGTGAGGAAGCAGCTTGCTTAGAACAGGAAACTCCAGACACCCCTGGTGCCAAGCTGTTCTCCCCTTGAGCTCCCTCAAGCCTGCTGAGCCAGCCTTTTGCTAAGCCACCAAAAGGGAAGGGGGGCAATGGTGAGTGCTGAAGATCATCTGGATTTGTCACTGCTCGACCCCTTACTATAACTTTGAGAGCAAGACACTTAAAACTGTAAAGTCTCTGTTGTCCTCCTCTGAAACAAAGGTATGATAGCAGAAATGTCACTATGTGGTGAAGATAAAATTGGAAAACATAAAATCCTGTCTGTGTCATAGATTGAGAGCAATGAGATTCAGGGGGGTGCAAGGCAAAAGTGGTTCTATTCCCACCTGCCCACACCCCAACACATGCTACACTACCTTTCTGACTCTGGATGAAATTTCAGGCAGGGTCCACCACTTTTCAGGTCACTCTTTCATAACAAATGGTCCTATTCTCACATTCATTCTTAAGAAGAGTCCTTTTGGTTGCTACAGTTTACAACCCAATAAGGATACAATTTATAGGACTCCATACTATAGCTGATTAGCTCCCCCTTCCCCACCTAGTTTTAGAACCGGAAGGTTTCCAGGCAGGGTGGGCAGGGGTTCAACCACCTTGTCTCTCTGCACCATGTGCCCCTCCCTTCACATGTGACCCCACCTCACCCTCTCACCCAGGTGATCCACCAGGGCCATCCATGTGCAGTGCCCTTAGCTTAATGTGTCTCTCCCACTCCTGGGCATCTGCCAGTTCAGCTCCTCTTCTGGCCAAGTATCCCTCCAGGCAGTCCTCTTGTTAACATCCTAGAGCCCTGCTGGCTCTACCCTCATCATACCATGAGGGGGCATGCAGAGTCCTACTGAGAGAGCCCTCCCTCCATGGCCACCACTCTTGGCCTCACCCAGCCTCTTGCCTGTAGGAAGTTGCAGGCATCTGTGTGGCATTGATTCTTGGTACCGCAGAGATTCTACAGAGCACAGGTAGAAAACTCTGTGCTTGAAGCCTCTGATTATAATTTAACTCCTAATCTTATTGTGGTTTCCTTTTATTGAATAAACTATTTTTCTCATGTAGGTTGCAAGATTTTCTCTTTCTCTTTCAGCATTTTGACTATGATGTATTTAGTGTAGATCTCTTTGCATAGGAGTTCATTGAGCTTCTTGGATACGTACATTAATGTTTCTCATGAACTATGGGAATTTTACAGACATTCTTCAAATATGTTTCTGGTTTTTTCTCTCAGTCATCTTCTATGGTACTCTGATTACATGTATACCAATGTGTTTAATGGTGTCCCACATTTTTCTGAAGTTTATTATTCTTCATCCTTTTTCTGTTTGATTTTTAGATTGCATAATCTCTATCAAATTATCTTCAAGTTTATTGTCACCTCTTTTAGTTTACATCTATTCTAGATCCCCTCTACTAATTTTTCAAATTTCAGCTATTTTACCTTTCAACTTCAAAATTCCATTTGGTTATTTTTTTATAATATCTATCTCTTTATTAATATTCTCTATTTGATGAGACATTGTCATCATAGCTTCATTTACTTCCTTCACCATAGTTTTCTTCTGTTTTTTGGACATATTATTTCTAATTAAGTTGCTTTATAATTTTTGCTAAGTTTGACATCTGGGCTCTTTCACAGGCAGGTTCAGTTGCCTGCTTTATATACTCTGCTTGGATCACACTTTCCTTTACCTTTGCATGTCTTATAATTTTGTGTTGAAAACCATACATTTTAGATAATAGCAATTCTAGTTAATGATCTGTCCCCTCCCCCTGGGATCCTTGCTGTTTCAACTTTTGTTTATTGACTAGGCTGGAATAATTTCCCCACAGTGTAAAGTCTATGTTAGGTCTCTGAGGACAGAGACTTGAGTGTGCACACAGTCACAGTAGGGTCACGTGGGTTTTAGCAGGGCTCTCTTTGACTGTCTTTTTCTTGTTCTCTATTAAGCTGTCTGCCTCTGCACGTATTACACTTAGTTCTTAATCTCCAATAACTACCAGATGATTGCTCTATTGTTTTCATCCAGGCCTGGGGAATAAATTAGTTCACAAGCTGATCTAATTCAATTTGAGTTTCTCAGGAACAGTGTTTGAGGCCAGTCTTTGAGATTTGTTCTGGCCCCAAGAAGGCTCTTTTTAGCTCTCCCTTTCCCTGATTGTTCCTTGTAGACCTCTAGCTGGCCTATGGTGTAGCTTATTGTTCTCTTGGAGATACAGGCCTCCTTTGCTTACCACCAAAATCTCTATTGTTTGGGGCATCACTCTCTAGTCTTTGTGGCTAACCTCTTTCAGTGCAGGAATTCTATCTTATGTGCAAGCTGAGGTGAGGGTGACCATAGCCCAGTGTTCTCAGCCTGCTGTCCTGGGGTAATGTTTTCTGGCCTACAAGAAGAGGGTGGGTGGAGGAGGATATTCCTGGATCTCTCAGTCAGTCTTGCCTAGAACAGAGTTTCTGCAGCATGGAGTAGAGGGTATGAGAAATGCTTGCAGCCTTTCCTTCTCGGGAATAAACTGTAGCCATCAACTGGGAGCTAAGAAAAGTGCTCTTGGCCACACCTGTCTAGAACTGATCTTCTGTCACACTGAGCTGGGGACTGGGAGGAGGAGTGGTTATTGCTCAGTTAGCATAGACGTTTTCTCTTTTTATCAAGGTTTAGTAGATTTTTCTTGAAGAAAATATCTTCATTTACTTTATGTCTTTAGCTCAATTTTCAGAGACATAAGTGGTGGGGGTTTATAAATTATTTTTATCAATTATGGGTTTTTATTAGGAAAAAGTTCTACAGAGATCCTCATGCTGCCATTATGAAAGTCATCTTCCTGCTGGATTGTTTTTAATGAAAATAATAATAATAAACAATTAGAAAGGGAAGGGTGTGATAGCAAACCAAAATGTTCATTGACATGGGAATGGGTCAACAGATGGTGGTATAGTCATAGCATACCACCTAGCTATTATCTTATTTTTTCCTTCTTATCATCAACTTCTTGGAGAATGATTAGGTATTAAATTGAATGAATTAGAGCCACATTTATCAATTAGGATAGATCTCAGGCACATAATACTGAGTAAGAAAAAGCAGTTGTAGAATAATCCTTTTAAAATAACATATAAATATTAGAAACATGTCATGGATGCATAACAGCTGAAGTAAAACAGGAAATGTGGACTGGAATATTCAAGTTAATGTCTGAATAGTATTCCTCTCTGGACTTTGGAAAGATAGAATTTGACTTCAATTCTCTTTTATTTTATATGCCTTTAATTAAGGATTTTAAACAGAATGTGTATCTCTACGTTGAGTACATGCGTGTGTACTATGCTATACTATTCCAGAGCTGAGCTTCATGTTTTGAGTCTCACAAATGATGAGCACAAGTGGGCACTTGCTGATGGAATGTCAGTTGGAACCTGGAGTCCTTACACTCTTGTGGCTTTAGAGAGAAGCCCCACACAGCAAACCAAAAAGGTCCAGGACTAAGACATCCTTTCAAGAAATGATAATTAAGCACTTATAGTGGACTATGCTCAGCACTAGGAGCTTTAAAGTAATGCTTTTTAATCTCCAAAATACTCTCAAATACAGGACCTCCTTTAGCTGTGTTTCAAAGAGATTCATTTACTAACCAAGTACTTAGTATTAACCTGTTTCCTCATCTGCAAGATGAGACTAACAAGAGCAACTCCTGCATAATTTTGTCAAAGTAAAGTAATTTGTGTAAAGACGCCAGCGTGTTGCCTGACACATTAGGAGCTGCTGTTGGTCTTCCCTGTTTACCAGGCACGGTTCCAATCACTGGGAGAGAAGGTGATTGAAATACAAGAACTCAAATGTCAGGGGCGCTCTCTGACATGCATTGAAACCGTAAATCCAGGAGCCTCAAGATGTTTGAGCAAGATGGGCTTTATAAATACAAAGAAACCGCTTCTAGCCTCGTCTTTTCCAAGATCCCTATGTGTTCTCCCCAGAATACAGAGCCAGGCATCTTTGCAGGGCAGGGAAGAGGGCGAGGCTCTCATGGGAGGGGCGGGTTGGAGGCGGGCACTGACGGGAGGGCCGGCACTGACGGAGGGGCGGGGTTGGGCGGGGCCCTGAGTGGAAGGGCGGGGTTGGAGGCGGGCTGGGACGGCGTTGGGGCGGCACTGACGGGAGGGCCGGGGTTGGAGGCGGGGCCCTGAGTGGAGGGGCGGGGTTTGAGGCGGGGCCCTGAGTGGAAGGGCGGGGTTGGAGGCGGGGCGTTGCTGGCCTGAGGCTAGGCAGGGGAGGTGCTGGCGAAGCTGGAGCGAGGAGGGCAGGCAGAGGGGCGGGCGGTCCTGGAGGGCGAGTGCCGGGACGGGCGGTACGGTCGCCTTCTCAGGCCGCAGAAGACAGAACAGACGTCGCAGGCGTACTCGCGGCGATGGGCTCCCTGGCGGCCGCCCTCTGGGCCATGCTCCATCCCCAGACTCTCCTCCTGGGTGCCCTCGCCTTTCTGCTCTTTGCTGACTTCCTTAAAAGAAGGCGCCCAAAGAACTACCCGCCAGGGCCCTGGCGCCTGCCCTTCGCTGGCAGCTTCTTCCACCTGGGCTTTGAGCAGTCGCACCTGACACTTCAGCCGGTAGGAGCGGGGAAAGTGCCTAGTCCCATCCGGACCCTAACTCTGATCTGCAGGACCAGGGAAACGCTGGGGACTGAGGCGGGGGTGGGGGAGGAGGGGAGGCTCTGTGGCTGATGCTTGTGACCAGGTGAACCCTGCTTTGAGCTTGATTTCCCTGTTTCCTCTCTTGGCGACTGGTATGATTCTACCTACCCTTTCTAGGGGTGGCATATTATTAAGAGTGCTAACCGTGTGAAGTATATTTACTCATTTAATTTCGTGTTATCTTATTAAATGTTATTGGAATATCTTATTTATAATATGATAGACCTCATTTATATTATCCTTAAAAATGCCATAGTTCTAGGAGGTTTCATTTCCCATATGTAAGACGGTGATAATTCTACCTAAATCCTCATTATTTCTCAGCTGGATTCCTCTCATCCCCACTCTATCTGATCCCCTGCCTTCAGCCACCTCCCCCTGCAGTTCACTCTCACTGAAGTAATAACTTAAAATGTTATTCCTCTGCTTAAATTTTCTTAGTGCCTCCCAGTGTTCAGACTCCTTCCTGGGACACTTGGGTCCCTTCTTCACCTGGCCTCTTTCCACCTCTTTATAATCATCTCCCATCAGGGCTCTCTGACCTTGGTCAGTCTGAATTCTTTATAAGTTCTCTCAGACATCAAACACTTTCTCAAGAATCTTCAGCTGGTTTCCCTGCTACTCAGCACAGGTCCTTTGCTGAGAGACAACACTGACAGATGGTTATAGAGATTAAATAAAAGAGTGAATGATTGACGTGGCTTCTATTTGGTGCACAACAGGTATTAGTTCCCCTTTCCCTACGCGTGCCTGGGGTATTTTAAACATGTGCCTATATGCTGTACTCAAATGCAGATGAGAAAATACTTAGTACTCTGGGTGAAATGCCCAACTGGTAACACTCAGTGACAGCATTAGTCACAGAATTTTAAAGCTGGGCTGCTGAACCTGTGCCCTTGTTTAAGAACTGTGGTATTTAATTTCCAAGTATTTGGACATTTTTCTGTTATTCTTCTGTTAATGATTTCCACTTTGATTCCATTACAGTCAAAGAATCAATTCTTTTAAATGTATTAAGGTTAATTTAATGACCAAAATACAATCTATCTTGATAACTATATCATGCATGTTTGAAAAAAATTCAACTCTTGTTGAGTGGAGTGTTTTGTAAATATCAATTAGATCTTATTCAGTAATGGTATTGTTTAGTTGTCTTATAGACTTGCTGATTTATTTTCTACTGATTCTATGAATTACTGAGAGTGACATGTTGAAGTCCCCAACTACAATTGTGAGCTTATCTATTTCTTCATTCAGTTCTGGTAGTTTTTTCTTCATTTATTTGGAAGCTCTGTCATTTTGTACATACCCATAAGATTGTCATGTCTTTTTAGTGAATTTAGCCTTTTATCATGTAATGTCCCTCTTTATCCCTGAAGTTTACTTATTTAATATAATACAGCCACACCAAACTCTCTTTTGATTAGTATGTGAGTAGTATAAGCTTCTCCATCATTTTATTTTAACCTACTTATATCATTATATTTGAAATCAGTTTCTTATAAACAGTAGGTATGTGGGTCATTGTTTTTTATTCTGCCAGTCTCTGTCGTTTAAATGGCAAATGTGGATCTTTTATATTTGATGTAATTATTGATACATTAGGATTTCAATCTACCATTTTATTATTTGTTTTACCTCTTTTCCTTGTTTTTCATTATTCTGTTTTCCCTTTCCTGTCTTCCTGTGGGTTACAGGAACATTTAAAATATAATTCCATTCTCATTTATCTGTAGTTTTTTGTACCTTATCTATTTGTTTTGTTTTACGAGTGGTCGCTCTGAGGATTACAATGTGCTTATGTAGATCATTGCAGTCTACTAATGTCAACATATTACCACTTCAAGTGAAATACTGATATCTAACAACCATTTAGGTGACTCTCCCCATTTTATTAGAATAATTGTCTTAAATATTATGTCTACATACATTGAGAACCACATTGGACAATAGTATAATTTTGCTTTTAAATGACAAATGCAATTTTAAAAACTCAAGAGCAGAAAAATAGTCTGTTGTATTTACCCATTTATTTACCTTTTCTGTTACTCTTTCTTTATTCCCAATATTCCAAGTTTCAAATTTCCTTTCTGATCTGAAGAACTTTCTTTAGCCATTCAACACAAGGGTAGGCATGCCTGCAAAAATCCTCTTAGCTTTCATACATCTAAGAATATCTTGACTTCACCTTCATTTCTGGAGTATACTTTCCCTAGCTATACAAGTCTAGGTTGATGATTTCTTTTATTCAACATTTTTAAATGCTATGTGACTTCTTTCTGGTGTCCAGATTTCTGATGAGAAATGTGTTGTTTTCTAAATCGTTATTCTCCAGAGGTAATGAGTTTTTTCTCTGCCTGCTTTCAAGAAATTTTCTTTCTTTTTATTTTGTAGAGGTTCGATTATGATATGTCTTGGTGTTGTTTTCTTTGGGTTTATCCTGTTTGGGCTCTGGAACCTGTGGATTTGCCTTTCCCAAATTTGAAGAAGAGTTTCAGCCATTCTTTCTTCATAAATGTTTTCAACCCAACATTCTTTTTCCTTTCAGGGACTCTTGGGCACTGATGACACAAATGGTAGATCTCTTGTTTTTGTACCCTAAATCGTTGAGGCTTCGTTTTTGTTGTTTCTAGTTTCTTTGTCTTACTAGTTTCTAGTTTCTCTGTCTTACTAGTTTCTCTGTCCAGTCTAGTTTCTCTGTCTTACTCAGATTGGATGCTTTCTACTGATTTGTCTTCAATTTCACTTATTCTTCTATCATTCCCACTCTTCTATTGAGATGTTCTATTGACTTTTTATATGCCATTGTATTTTTCATTTCTAAAATTTCCATTTGGTTCTTCTTTATCTTTTCTATTTCTTTTCTAAGATTTGCTATTTTTATTTGTTTTAAGAGTGCTTGTAGTTGTTTATTAGAACATTTTATAACAGGTACTTTAAAATCTTTAATGTTCTATAATTCCAACATCCATATAATCTCAATGTTGGCATCAAACCATTTAAATTGAGATTCTCCTGGTTCTTGGCAAAGTGAGTCATTTTAAAGTGTATCCTGGACATTTTGTGTATTATGTTACTATGTTATAAGATATACTCTGGATACTATGTAAAACTATTATTTTAGCATATGACCTATTTAGATTCTGAATGCTAACTTGTGTGAGCTGTGATTCAAATGTTAAGTTAGGTTATATAGCCTCTGCAGTGCTATTCTGGTCTACCCCACTATGTAATACCCACCCCCTCAGGCATCTACCACATGGTCTCATCAGTGTAGGCTGGGAGATGGGGACAGAGACCAGGAACCCTCTGAGTAGTGTCCTTCCCACAGAGGGATGGGAGTCAGAGATCTGCCCACATCTACTCATGGACAAGTATACCTCCTTGTTACTGTAGGAGAAAAGTAGAAATCCTAACTCTGCCCAAAGACTCCTTCCAGAGGAGTCTCTTTATTGCAGTTCAGGATTGGAAGTCACAATTCAAGTCACAGATTCTGTAGGGAAGGACACCAGCTTGTTACTTCTTAGGTCAGGTAAAAGACAAGGTTCCACCCATGTTCTCCATTGGTGCTGCACCCTTTAGGGTTGGGGAAGGTCACATCTTTTCACGGTGTTTGCCTCCAAAAAGAGAATTAAAACAGCTAAAAGGTTTCTGTCCTGTCAAGCTGTCCTTTTCCTATCTTTGACTAGAGAGAGTAGGCTTTTCTTGGAGTTATTTTTTGTCTCTGTCAATTGGTGTCATGATTAGTAGAAGCAGAATGGGAATCGTTTATTCAATCTTTTCTGGAATACAAAGTTTGATTTGTACCAACATATATGTGACTAGAGAGGATAAATGCTTCCCCCAAAATCTAGGTGGTGATGAAACTGAGACTAAGTTTTTTTCCCTGGCCCAGTAATCATTCATGTCTTATTTTTCAAGTATATGTGTTTTTCTTTTAATTTTATGTAGGTTTGCATTGTTATATTGAATTTTATATTGCATTTTCTGGATATGAAATACATGAAGTTAACAGGTATAATTTCATTATACTTAAATTTCCATTCTTGCAATTGGAAAACATTATGTACTAACTATCTAATAGATACTACATCAAAATATTTATGTTACTTCTGATTTAATCTTCATGATAGGGACATGAGTTACGTATTATCTGGTGATGTTTCCATTTTACTATGGAGTAAACTGAGAACAAACAGCAAAGTGATTTTCCCAGGTTATTCAGCTAAATTAATGGCAAAATAAGGACTTCAAAACAAGATTATTTGAGTCATACATCTATTCTCTACTTAGGCTACATGACTTTTCATGATACAATTTGAGGATAATTGATTTATTCATGGGCTTATTTCTTCAACAGAAATTTATTAAATTTTTACCATATACCAGGCACAGTACAAGACTGTGTATGATGAAATGTGTAGTGTGTGTACATGCTTGGTAACCAAATGGGATATCGGGATGGGACACTGCGAATGGATAATCCTGGAGATACCTTTTGTAGAATGTTGGAATAAATTGGGCTGAACTTTAAAGGAATGTTTGATGTATTGCAAGTAGCTAAGTGGAGTAAAGGGATAGGAGATTTTAAGTGGGGGAAAGTGGTCTACACTAAAACACAGTGAGAGGACAGTGAAGAAATAGATTTGTTTGTATGGTGTGATAGGAGCTTTTTCCCTATCTTCCACCCTACCCCATTTCTAAACTTTCCCTATTATAGCTATATGGCTTATTATAAGATCATTTATTTAAATGAGAGAAAAATCTTATAGGACTAAGGTGGGAGAATGGTAGATAAGATTGACAATATGTTACCTAGGATACATACCAGGCTGCTTATAACAATGTGACCCCAAAATACAGTTGTGTGAATGAGATTGAAATGTATTTCCCTTTCAGAAATGAGTTCAGATTTA